TCCTCCAAGGCCCATCATCATTCCTAGGAAAGGGTCCGTCTGCAAGGGAGGTGGGAGGGGAAGGAAGAGAAGGGGGAGAAGGGAGGGAAGCTAAAGCTACCCTGGAGGATGGAGCCAGGTGGCCTGGGCTTATAACCCAGCTTTGTGAATTTGGTCAAATAACTTGGCCTTTCCATGCCTCAGTTTCCTTATTTGTAGACTGGGGATAATCATGGAAACCCTGATAGGGTTGTAGTGTCAGTGAGTTACTACATATAAATGCTTGGGAGAGTGGCTGGCCCATGGTATGTTTCTGCCCACCTGGTGTCCATGCCCCGGTCTCCCTTTCAGGGGAACACCCCTCCCCAGGAGGGTGTTCTCCCCAGCAAATTTCCCCAGGAGGGAGTGCCTGCCTTAGAGTGAGGCCACCCCAGGAGAAAGAGAGCTGAGAGAGGGAGAAGGCAGACCCCCCACCCCATTGCACTGTCGAAGGCCCTGGGTTCATTACACCTCGCTCCAACTAGCCCTGACTCTTCAGTCTCAGGCAGCACGTTCCTTTTTTGGCTTCAGCTGGTTGAGTTGGGATTCTGTCACTCGCTCAAAAGGGTCCTGAATTACCCAAGGCCTGTAGAGTCAGGGTAGCCTAGAACCCAAACCCTCTGGATTCTAGAAGGCCAAGGCCAGAGCAGAGGAGTCAGGTACTGGGATTCCCCAGCTGGGATTCTCTGAGGCTTGTCCCCTAGTTGGAGACCCGTGTGAGGAGGAGGAAGGGAGGGTCGGGGGTGTGTGAGTAAAGCTGACTCACCTGGCCAGTCTTCTCCTTGTTGATAAGCAGGCGGGGAGTAGAGAGGGGTGCCCTGGGGGGATGGTGAGTTGAGTGGTCAGGATCAGTCCTGGTGCCCCCCAGTCCCAAGCCACCTACTCACAGCCCTGACCCCAACCTACTTGCTGATGAGGGATGCAAAGGGCTGCACCTGCAGGGAGGTGCCCATGATGATGAGGAGGTCCACCTTCCGGAAGTCCTACATGTGGGGAGCGACCAGTGAGGCTCCCAGACCCTCTGCCCAGGCTGGGCCACCCCACCTTGCACCCCCGCAGCAAGCCTGCACCCACAGCAAGTTGAGGAGCCACCTTCCCCTGGGCAGGGGGGCACTTACTGACTGCATGCAGGAGAAGAAACGCGCCGGGAGGTTCTCACCAAAAAATACGATGTCTGAGGTGGAGACAGATGGACAGACACAGAGACAGAAAGACAGTGACATGGGGAGACCGAAAGAGAACAAGCAGGAGTAGAGGCCTGAGCTGGGAGCTGGAGAGCAGTGGGCACAGAACCCCACTCTCCCCAGGACAGATCTGGGACACTGGTCAGGGAGACAGAGGTGGCCAGAGGTGGGGGGTGGGGGACATGGCTTTTAGGAAGGGGTCAGGGGGGAATGGAGGGGGGTTTCCCAGCCCAAGTCCACCTTGGTTGGTCCCTGGCCCTAAGGCTCACCAGGCTTCACCACGCTCTGACATTTCTCACACTTGGGAGTCACCTCCGTGAAGATCTTCTCTGGGTGTAGGGAAGAAAAAGGGAGAGAAAGCGGTAAGAGGCTCTGGGCTGGGCACTGGGGGTTGCCACCTGCCCTGCCTGCCTGCTCCTTCCTCCACTGTCCACATAAACACACCTCAGTCATTGGGGGAATCTCCTGGGGTGTCTGCCCTGCGAAGAAGAGACTTCC